CTCTCCTGTGTGAATTCTTTGATGCTTGATGAGCCCCGACCTCTGTGAACAGGACTTTCCACATTCGCYGCACACAAAGGGAGTCTTCCCTGTGTGAAATCTCTGATGAGCTATGAGGCAAGTCTTCTGGATGAAGCCTTTCCCACACTCACCACATGTGTAAGGCTTCTCACCTGTGTGAATTCGCTGATGAACGATGAGGTTTCCTTTCTGGATGAAGCCCTTTCCACATTCACTGCATATATAGGGCTTCTCTCCAGTATGAGTCTTCTGGTGTATGTTGAGCCGTGATTTCTTGAGAAAGGCTTTGCCACATTCGGTGCATATGTACGGTTTCTCACCTGTGTGGGTTCTGTGGTGTTCTGTGAGCATGAACTTCCTGGAGAAGGCTTTCCCGCACAGATGACATCTATGGGGCTTCTCACCAGTGTGGATGATCTGGTGATCAGTCAGCCAAGACTTCTTGATGAAGGCTTTCCCACAGTCACTGCATACATGAGGTTTCTCTACTTTTTGAGTATTCTGAGGCTTGGGACAAGTGAACTGAGATTTAGTGCTGATGAGTTTTCCATTTTCAGGGAATTTAATTTCAGTATGAAATTGTTCACRAGAAACATGGAGAAAGGATTCCCCATTTCTAGAAATCTCAGCAAAGTTCTTTATTTCACAGTGTCTGCTCTGGTCAATCAAAGGTAAGTTTGTTTTCATACTTTTTTCATGTAAGTTAAATATACCATGCTTTTGCCTTAGTAGAAACTGAGCTCTGTGCTGATGAACAGAATTTTCAAAGGCACTGTGTTCATGCCACTGTACCATCCTGTTCACCTTGCTTTCTCTCTGTAAGAGTTTTGGTAGATGATCATCAATTTCCCAGATTTCTATGAAAGAAAAGAACAGTGAGTTTTCTATCACCTTGATCTGGAATAAAAGCATTTTTAAAAATTACCTATGTGAACAACAATAAGTGTTGGCAAGGATGTGGGGTAAAAGGCACATTCATTAAAAAAATATTGCTGGTGGGGCTGCAAATTGGTGCAGCCAATATGGAAAGCAGTATGGAGAATCCTTGGAAAACTTGGAATGAAACCACCATTCGACCCAGCTATCCCACTCCTCAGTTTATACCCAAAGGACTTAAAAACAGTATACTACAGGGACATGGCCACATCAATGTTTACAGCAGCACAATTCACAATAGCTAAACTATGGAGCCAACCTAGATGCCCTTCGGTAGATAAATGGATAGGGAAAATGTGGTATACATACATAGTGGAATGTTACTCAGCATTAAAAGAGAACAAAATCATGGCATTTGCAGGTAAATGGATGGAGTTGGAGAATATTATGCTAAATGAAGTTAGCCAGTCCCCAAAAAACAAATGCCAAATGTTTTCTCTGATATGAGGATGCTGACGCAGAATGGCGAGGGATGGGGGAGTGTGGGAGGAATGGAGGAACTTTAGATAGGACAAAGGGGAGGGAGGGGAAGGGAGGGGGCATGAGGGTAGGAAAGACAGTGGAATGAGATAGTCATCATTACCCTAAGTACATGTATGAAGACATAAACGGTGTGAATCTACTTTGTGAACAACCAGAGACAGGAAAAATTGTGCTCTATATGTGTAATATGAATTGAATTGCATTCTGCCATCATATATAAAAACTAAAATAAATAAATAATTTAAATTAAAAATATWTTTTTTTTAAAATCACCTAGGTCTAAGGTCTCTTTTTAATGACAACACTATCAAAAGAGTGTAAACACAACTCAGTTGATTGGGTACTGGGAGAAAACAATTACACAGGCAAACCAAAAGTTAATGATGGACACAAGGTTAGATGATTCATGAAAAAATACAGATGTAGATGCTTTTTAAAACATGGAGAGACCATCAAGTATCAGCAGAGATAGAGACTARAGGTTGGAGGGAGCAATCCATCCACTCCACAGATCCTGCTGAATGCCCACCGGGTGCCAGGCTCAGTGCCAATTCCGCAGGTTCACAAACACATTCCGGTGTCCACGGAGCCCACACCAATGCTGGGTAAAATACTTAAAATAGCAAAGACGGGAGCAGCTGCAGACTGTGCAAGGTGTTGGAAGGAGCAGTGGAGATGGACAGAAGTGCATCAGGTAAGACGGGGCTCATGGGGAGTCATGGCTGCACGTGGGGAGGAAAGAGCAAAGGAACCAGGGCACACTCTCTGGCCCGAAGCCCCGAGTAGCACTGCATTTAATAAATTGAACCCAAGGGCACTCAATCACTGTGCCATGTCCC